AAAATAGATGACTACATATTCCAGGTAATAAAGAATATTCGTCTCAAAATACTTTGAAGATGTTGAGAAAAAATTTAAGTACCTTCCACACATGTATATTTAAATTGTATAAATATTGTATTGTGCATTATGAAACAACAAAAAAATTCTAAAATGATACGATACAAATGAAAACAGCATATTTCACAGAATTAGCTAATACCTCAAAATAACATATACTCAGGGTAAGGGGCACTGAGAATTATAAATTTTAAATTATAATTATGTAAATTATTTAAAATTATAGATTCAAACTGTCATATCTGTCATAAGGGGCATGAAGCGCTGACACGTGCTGCAACCTTGGGGATGCCATGCCAAGTGAAATAAGCCAGGTGTAAAAGGTATTGATTGATTCCCTTCAACTGAAATGTCCAGAACAGGCAAACCACAGACACAAATAGTAGACGAATGGTTGCCAGGGGCTGGGGTAGGGGTGGGAGTCTTAAGAGATCGGGGGTCCCTCTTTGGGTTGGTGAAAACATTCTGAAATGAGATAGCAGTGACGATTGCACAATGTTGAGAATATACTAAAAAACGCTGACCTGTACACTTAATGGGTAAATGTTATGGTTTGTGAATTCTCTCAGTTTTTTTTTTTTTTTTGTGGTACGCGGGCCTCTCACTGCTGTGGCCTCTACCGTTGCGGAGCACAGGCTCCGGACGTGCAGGCTCAGCGGCCATGGCTCACAGGCCCAGCCGCTCCACGGCATGTGGGATCTTCCCAGACCGGGGCACGAACCCGTGTCCCCTGCATCGGCAGGCGGACCCCAACCACTGCGCCAGCAGGGAAGCCCTCTCTCTCAGTTTTTTAAAGATGCCAATAAGTAAATAAATAAGGCAGAGGAAAAAGCATCACATCTCCTTAGCCTGTCATGGGTTTATCTCATAATGTGTTGGCCATTTCCTTGTGGTTTACTTGGGCTTGTATTGATCGTCTGGAGTTTCCCTGCAGGAACCCTGTAAAGCCACCTGCCCTCTTTCCTCTTTACGAGATTACTTTAGTTAAATAACATCCCTAAAACCAGTCACCTGGACACTCATAAAAGACAACCTGAATTTCAATGTTCTGAAAATAAACAATCGTAGAATTCCAACTCCTTTCACAGGACGCCTCAAGGACTGTGCCTGATAAAAGTTCATCTGATATATGGAGTGGGGGTCCCAGGGTCAATCTTAAAGCTATTAGTAAAGTTTAAATTTTGCTGTAATTTTGAAGATGAAAATGAAATGTGAATAGACATTCTAATCTTTTCCTCCTGCACCTCAATGGGTCTCCTGGCAAGCTCTGTTTTGGAGTCCACAAATTTAGACACTGACATTCTGAAAAATAAGGACAAACCTCAGATGTGCAGTAGCTATTCTCAAACTCTGTTTTACTTTGGAATCACCTGGTTCACTTGTTAAAACTGTAGGTCCACGCACCACTCCTAGAGATTCTGACTCTGTCCCTAGCGATCTGAGCCAGGAGTTCCAAATACTCTACCTTAGGAGACACTGTTATAACATCCTATTATTAAGCTCTAAAAGTCAGATGAATGGCTGCAGTGGGCTCGGGAGAATCATCTGGGGTGGTGGTCTGACACTGGATTGTGGGGATGGTTCCACAACTTTGTAAATTTACCTAAAAAAATCATTGACTACTACAGTTAACGTGGCTGAATTTTATGGTATGTATGTTATACCTCAATAAAGCTGTTTAAAAACCACAGGAGACCTTCGTACTTGTCATCACAAAAGTAGTCATGTGTTTACCGCAGGGCTTTTCGATATCCCGAGAGAAGGATGCACGTGGCCTCAGGGGGTGGAGTGTGCACACCAGCCTCGGTCTTTCCCCATCACACTCAGCTGCCTTAAACCCAAGGCCGGGATGGGCAAATCAATTTACGAGCTTCCGCTGAGGAAGGGTGATGAGTTAAGAGTCCATGGTAAGGACTTCCCTAGTGGCACAGTGGTTAAGAATCTGCCTGCCAATACAGGGGACACAGGTTCGATCCCTGGTCAGGGAAGATCCCACATGCCGCAGAGCAACTAAGCCAATGCGCCACAACTACTGAGCCTGCATTCTAGGCCCCACGAGCCACAACTACCGAGCCCACATGCCACAACTACCGAAGCCCGCAAGCCTAGAGCCAGTGCTCTGCAGCAAGAAAAGGCACCACAATGAGAAACCCACGCACCACAACGAAGAGTAGCCCCGGCTTGCCACAACTAGAGAAAGCCCGTGTGCAGCAACAAAGACCCAATGCAGCCAAAAATTAAATAAATAAAAACGAAAAAAAAAAAAAAAAAAAAAAGAAGGGAGTTCACAGTAAGAACTTTTAAGACTTTACACAGTGTTATCTGTGCTAAACCAAAAATGGGCTACAAAAGCTGAACTACACAAATATCCTGAGAAAGGACGGCTTCTGTCAATACCACAAGCTCTTAAAAATACCACCAGCAGTGGGCTTCCCTGGTGGCTCAGTGGTTGAGAGTCCACCTGCCGATGCAGGGGACATGGGTTCGTGCCCCGGTCTGGGAAGATCTCACATGCCGCGGAGCGGCTGGGCCCGTGAGCCATGGCCGCTGAGCCTGCGCGTCCGGAGCCTGTGCTCCGCAACGGGAGAGGCCACAACAGTGAGAGGCCCACGTACCGAAAAAAAAAAAAAAAAAAAAACCACCAGCATGGGCAGGGGTGTGCCTCCTGCCAGGGTGCACCCCAAGGTCTAAGAAGCTGTGTAACGTGACTGTCGGCAGCCAACACCGCTGAGACAGGGCTGAGAGGCAGGCGGGATTCGGCCAGGTGCTGAGAAGCATAACGATCCACACACTGGCCCCTCAAGAGGGGCCCGGGAGGCATTGGGACCGATGGTTCAGAGGGAAGAATATTCCAAGACACAGAAACGAGGCTGCTCACCTTGCCCTGGATGCTGCAGGCAGTGGCGTAACGGGGTGAGCGGGAGGAGAGAGTGAACAGCGGGAGAGGTGGCAGCAGGGGATGCAGGCCTCGCTGGACCACGTGGAAGCCTCAAACCCTGCGACGGGGCTGCCAGTACGAGGGCGATCCTGTGCTCCCAGGAGGGAAACAGGGAAAGCCTGCAGGGGGGTCATGCAGACAGGCAGGCAAGGGAGAGTGTAGTTCCTGCCTAGTGAGCAAGAGGGGATGAAGACGAAAGGCCAAACAGGTGATCTGGCGGGAGCAGGGCCACGACTGAAGGCAGGCGGTCACGGGGCAGGAAGCAGGGGCACTTCCCAAATCCCTGGACGGAGCTAACAGGAGCGGTGCTTACTAAAACAAGAACAGCTTAGAGAAGCAAGTGTACGGAATGCAGGAAAAATGTCGGGATGGTGGGTGCACCGTCCTCATGACCCACAAGCGGTGATGCCAAGTATGCAGGTGTATTCCAGGGTAAAGCTCCTGGTCGGGCCGACACAGACATGGGAGCCATCAGCTTCAATAAGGTGACCGAAGCTGGATAAGAGCGGAACCCCCTAGAGAGTGACACACAGAGCCCAGCACAGACACCACGTCACCTCACAGAGGAAGACGGGTCAGAGAGAGAGAAAGGAACCAGGGGCTGACTGTGGCTTTTCCTCTCAGTCCAACCAAGTCCTAGTGATTTTTTAATAGTCTTAAAGTCCACCTCTGAAGAAGGACAATGGACCATTTGGGGACAAGCCACGATGCCCACACAGGGAGCCTAGAAGAATGAATGACAAGGGCTTCGTGGCTGGTAGCAGGTGATGACGTGACATGGATCAAACAAATTGTTCTCCACTTAAAATCCACCCCCACTTCCACACTATCCCCTGCCCTGCCATTTTCAGGAGATACCCCGGAAATCCAGGTGTGCAGGCTAGCGAACATTCCAGAAAATTAAATGTTGACTATAATTGTATCACAAAGCATTTAGAGAGTCCACCTCTAACTCTTACACAAAAATACATTTTTAATTGGCCTTCTGACTATGGAATCATTATCTATTTGGACAAATTTAAGCAAAACATGGCCTTTTTATTCTATTGCCCCCAAACAAGTGTCATGACACGTAGCTGGTCTAATACAGTCCATCTTAGCCCTGGGTGTGTCTCAGAATTACCAAGGGATTTGTTTGTCATCTTTCTTTTAAAACACAGGAGCCCAGACTCTCCTGTCCTCTTAATGAGTTAGAATCTCTAGGATACCAGACCCAAGTTAATGTCTTTTGTTTTGTTTTTACTCTGTTTTTAAAACATCACCAGTAATTCTGATGAGCAGCCAAGGTGGGGGACCCGCTGGTCTAATCTTTTAGGACTCTTAGGACACCTACGAGTAATACCTTCCTCTAAAAAAGAAATGACTGGTTTTGAAAAACCTTGTTAGTGGGGGGAAAATCAGGAACAGATAAGTTGACCATCATCTCTGATAATTTCTTCCATGAGACTGCTGAGTTGGAAAGAGATGAGGAACTAAAGCTGATCGGTTATACCGTGATTATGTCACAAGCAGCCCATTAATTATGCTGTTTTGGCTCATAACGGGGGAAAAGGAAAAAGTAAGCACGTTTGTAAACCTGAAGGAAGACCAACCATTAGGTTCTCAAAGTTCTTTCTGGCACCAGTTACCAGCAAATAATTTTTTCTTATGTTTTCCCCAGTGTCCATTAGTATTTCAGTAGATTAACCCTGGGGATGAGGAAGATGGGGCAAAAACCTCAAATGCAGGTCTATTCAAAACGTGAAGGATTAGTGGTTGCCAGGGGTTTGGGAGGAAAGGTGGGGCTGGGGGAAGTGAGGAGTTACTGACTGTCCATGGGTACAGGGCTTCCTTTGGGGCGATGAAGATGAAATTGACTGTGGTGATGACCACACAACTCTGAGTATACAAAAGAACAGCGAACTGTACACTTCTAATGAGTGAATCATATGGTATGAATTCTTCTCAATATAGGTGTTAATAAACGTAAAAATTGTTTGGGTATCAAAACAGAAGACTTTACCTGGGTGTAAATACTAAAAATGTGGCTTTGTACTTCATCCATTGAGTCGAGGCCATAGGCCACGGTGCCTAGATGGAGCCGTTTGAAAACCATCTCATTCTGGGTGAGAGTTCCTGAAACACAAGACAAATCAGTAACTGCCTACATCCTGGAGCTCTTATTATTATTAACAGTAATGATAGCTATTTGGCTTTTTTTTTTTCTTTTGAGAGTTTACCGTATGTCACAGGCTGGTTTCAGCACTGCTCCTGCTGGATGAGGCGCCTGTGATATTTTGTCAGCCTGGAATCCCAGAATTTCTTCTGAAAATAGAACCCCAGGCTTCCAGGGGGAGTTATCACCCTCATTCCCTGGGATGGTCCAGTGGGAGCGTCAATCAGGGTGCCTGACCCATTCCATTGGCCAAGAGGGCAGCACGTGACATACATGAGGCCAATCAGATTCTATCTTGAAGGAATCTAAACCTTGAGCAGACGGACATATCAACAGAGGATGAGTCAAGTCAGGAGACCATCCCAGGGGTCCTGATGCGGACACAGCCAGAACTTTCCTGGTTCTTCTTCTTCCTGAAACCTAGTTTTGCTCTGATTTCCCGAATCTTTGCAATAGATTCCCTTTTATCCCATGCTCACTGAATGGTAGAGAGGAAGCTAAAACCCAGGTCTCCCCACTCGGCACTTGCTCTCAACCACTACGACAACCTCGTAACTTGACAGATGTTAAACTGTGGAGCAGTATTTCGAGGTGTGGTTTCAAGGTCAGGACTTGAAGCCAGACGGTCTGAGTTCAAAGCCTGCTTCTGCCACTATGTGCTCCTGACAAGTCACTTAACCACCAAGTCACTTAATATCCCCGAACTCACAACACCGGGGGAGGATTAAGTAAGTGACTATAAATACCCAGAATGGTGCTTTTGTACATAATCAGCAGGAAGTAAGGCTGTGCTGCTATCACCATCATCATCACCGAACAGTCTGTCACCATCAAAAGATGAAGAAAATCAAAGGGCAGCAGCGCGCGTCTCCAACACCTCCAGAAAGAGACTCCAAGCACCTTCTTCGACCTCGAATCCTGCGAGGGCCGCAGGAAACTCACCGGTCTTATCTGTGAGTAGGTAGGAAATCCTCCCCAGCTGCTCGGGAATCGTGCTGGAGCGAACCACGGTCCCGGGGATTTTCGAATCCCTGCGAATCACCCAGCTGTACACGATCTTGCCCATGTCCAGGTTCACACGCAGGCTGTCAGAAAACCAGAGCACACAGGTTAACGGGATAAACGTAAGACTGCCTGTATCTCAACAAGGACTCTAAATGCACATCGTTCGTGCCATAACATCTGGAATCACCCCCTGTAGAAGCACACTGCTGGGGCTGAATCCACAGATTCAACACCACTATCAAATTTCCATGAAGCGATTCTGTTACGGACCAAAATAAAATATAAAAATTGAAGATACTTTTAAAATATCGAAAAGGTAGTTGTTTTAGCCTTATTTAAAAAAAGAAAAAACAGTAGTCCTCTGAGCTAATGTATTTTTGATAGCTTATTCATTTTTTACATTGTGGTAAAATATACATAACATAAAATTTACCATTTAAAGCATCTTAAGTGTACAGTTCAATGATATCAAGTACATTCACATTGTTATGGGCCCGTAATCACCATCCATCTCCAGGACTTTTTCATCTTCCTACACTGAAATTTTATACCCATTAAACAGCAGTTCCCCATTTCCCCTTCTCCAGCCCCCAGCAAGCACCATTCTACTCTCTGTCTCTACGAATTTGACTGCTCTGGGGGTCTCGTACTGTGGAGTCACACATGATCTGTTCTTTTGTGTCTGGCTTATTTCACTTAGCATAATGTTTTCAGGGTTCATCCATGTTGCAGCATGTGTCAGAATTCCCTTCCTTTTTTTTTCCTTCCTTTTTAAGGCTGAATAATATTCCTTTTTATGTCCTATACTCATTTTTTTTTATTTATTTACTTATTTATTTTTGGCTGTGTTGGGTCTTCGTTGCTGCACACAGGCTTTCTCTAGTCGTGGTGAACAGGGGCTATTCTTAGTTGTGGCGCGCTCGCTTCTCATTGTGGTGGCTTCTCTTGTTGCAGAGCACGGGCTCTAGGCACGCGGGCTTCAGTAGTTGTGGCACGCGGGCTCTACAGCGCAGGCTCAGTAGTTGCAGCGCACAGGCTTAGTTGCTCCATGGCATGTGGAATCTTCCCGGACTAGGGCTCGAACCTGTGTCCCCTGCATTGGCAGGCGGATTCTTAACCACTGTGCCACCAGGGAAGTCCCTGAGTTATACTCATTTTTAAATATTTCATTGCAAACAATAAAAAGAAATCTTCAAATTCATTCATAATCCTATAAACTGATTAAGTTGCTAACTATCTCACTGGCTAGCCCTGGCCCATATGCAGATTCAATGCACCGATTTTCAGTCATGTTGTAGACAGAACTTTAAAGACTACAATTATACACAACATTACAGCACAAACACTCTTTTGTTAGCAGTAAATTAGACGTATTTATTCTTTGAAACCATCATCCAGAGCCTGGGGTTCAATCTCCTTCTTCTAGTCACGTTGTTGTACCAAAACCACAAACTCTGCCTTCGGAAAAAGACGAAGTCTAGCTGGGATGATATAAATACACAAAAGAGCAAGACAAAATACAGGGCAATAGATCAAGTGTAAGAGAGAGATTATAAGCACTAGACGTCTGAGGGAAAAAGATATGGCTTGTTTTATAATTATTTATTGATCATTTATTATGGGGAAAAAGTAGAAACAAGCATCCAACAATACGGGTCTAAATAAATTATCAGGCATAGAATACATACTACAGCAGTTCTAATAAATGACGGTGTGCAAGTATATTTGATGTGAAAAGTTATCTGCAACACATCCTTTTGTTAGAAAAAAAAGCGGAGGGTGGGAGTGGATTTTTATGTAGAGCAAATTCTCCTTTTTCTAAAATAGAAAGCCGTCTAGAAAACATATATCCCAAAACATTAACAGCAATTATCACTTAGTTGTGAGATTAGAGATGATTTTTATTTTATTCTTTGGCTACTGTGAATTTTTTTTTTTACTATGACCATCTATTACTTTATTTTATATATATATATGTGTGTGTATATATATATATATTTTTAACCATTTATTCAGCCTTCAAATGAGGTAGGCGAACAATTGTCTGGCATGTGCCACCAAGCTTCCACTGCTAATCAAGCACCGTGAGTCCTGACTCAGGCTCAGAATCCTTCCCAACACAGCACTCCCACCAGTCACCACCAACCTCCTGGGGCTGGTAAATAAGATGAAATCTAAATGGCATGTCCAGTGTACACTGAGACTGGGCAAGGCCAGATCTTTTGAGCAGAGAGTAATTCCAGAAAGGATGGTTCAGGGAGGAACGTGCCCATCCAGTGCTCCGGCCAGAGAGCTGCCTACACTCCTGACCCTGCCTGTCCTTGGTCGTCACTCTACAAAAGGGCCCGGCTCCTTCTCAAAACCGCAAAACCATGACCTTTGAATGAAGAGAGAGAAGCAAATGTCGCAGCGCTTAAACACAAGCCTGTTCTCTGCTTACCTGATGGGAATGATGTTGGAAAACAAAAGGAGGAAGCGGATGATTTGTAGGTACCAACGTCCGGCGAAGTGCTGGAGGGCGACCATGACCAGAGACACCACCACCAAAGCTCCAAAGAGGATCTTTGTTAGACAGTTCACTTCCAGGTCAAACAGGCCAATCTGTGGGACAGCGCACAGAGCGAAGCTTGTGATTAGCTGGTGCAACCCACAGCCCGCCCAGAGAACTGGTCCTTCCCCCATGAACACCTCTACCTCGGGCAAGACCGTGGGCTCCATGGATCCCCACATCTTTGGGTGAGAACGCTGGGCTCCACAGGCTAACAGACATCCAAGGGACTTCAATGAATCCGATTTCGATTTTTTCTTAATGAATTTAGATTTAGCCTTGGAATCACATAAGTGGGTTACTGCTGCCTTCAGCGATGCTGTGCACTGCGTGGCCTCTACCGTCCTACACAGCAGCCTGTAGAATCACTCAGTCCTACAGCTCTGTGCAGCGCACCACGCACTAATTCCCTGTGGCCGGGAAATTCGGGGCGCACGCCACTGGTGGCCCCTGATTTTTAGGTGCTGCATTCATGAACGTGAGTATTTTAATGACTACATGCTTGTTTTAATGTATATTCTTTAAAAATGGAACCAGCACATGAAACCCATCACTTCGCAGAAACATGGCCCCGGATACAGCTAAAACATCAAATAGGGGACATTTCCAGTTGTAATAACGATGGTCGTCATGGGGGTTGTAATGGCAGGGTGAAATGACTGGCATCTGTTCACAGTACTGACAAAGAAGACCACTCTGCAATATTCTGACTCTAAGAACCTGGGGGAGGGGTGGAGCTGGGAGGGAGGGTGCTGGTGGGAAGGGAGCAGCAACAGGGCCATCAGGCAGACCGCAGAGCTGACTCCGCTTGCCCTGCCACAGCAGCTCAGCGTGGGTTTGAAGCCAGGTCTACACAGCTTGGCCAGAGCGTGGTCCTTCTCCAGGCCATTTCTCCTCTATAAGATGAGGCTGCAGAAGCACCTGTGCTCACAGGCTGGCGTAAGGATTAAATGAGGTGCAGTGAAGGATGCCGCACAAGACGTGGCAAACAGTAAGGACTCGTCAGTTCATTTTAAAAGCTTTTAAAACGTTATGTATTCATTTACAAGCAGTCCTTGTTTAACTGCCGTGAGCTTAGCAGACACTGAGGTTTTTTACAAATTGAAGGTGTGTGGCAACCCTGTGTTACCAGAGGATAAGTTAGTATTTTTTAGCAATAAAGTATTTTTAAATAAGGTACGTACATTGGTGTTTTTGACATAATGCTTTTACTGCACACTTAACAGACTACAGGATAGTGTAAACATAACTTTTAAACGTACTGGGAAACCGACAAATTCGTGTAACTTGCTTTGTTGTGATACGCACTTTACATGGTGGTCTGGAATAGAACCATCACCTCTCCAAAGGCTGCCTGTACATACGAACACATATTCATGTACTGTGCGTGTGTATCTATATATACACACGTACCTATGCACATACACGGACGTGAAAAGATAGTCTGTATAAATGAAGTCACACTGTCAGGGGTTCCTGTTTTTAAATCTAGCTTCTCACCCCACCAACACCAACCATCAAACTACATCAGGTGAGAAAGTTCTGGCAAGGAAACACATCCTGTGACTCTGTACGCACCTTACTTCGAGGATTTGAGGTATTCATGACACTCCGGAGTTCTCTGCCCGTGTAAAGAACAACACCCACAATAGTACCTAAGGTGAGAAAAACAACCCAAAGAAATGTGAGTACAGACAGGCAGGCTTACAGACAGAAGAGTCCTACCCGCTTGAGGAGGAGATTTTCTCAAAGCGGTATCCACACACTGTGAGATGCTGCCAAGTTTACATCGGGGCCGACCGAGACCTACGTCCGCACTGAGGGTAGCAAAGCCCCTAGCCACATGTGGCCATTCACATTTAAATACAATTAAAACGAAATAAAATACAGTCCCCCATTTTCACTAGCCACATTTCAGGTTCAACAGCCATATAAGGCCAGTGGCGGCCATACAGGGCAGTGAAGACACAGGACATTCCCCCTACTGCTAAAAGTTCCACTGGTCAGCGCTGGCTTGTGGGGTCCGGCAGCCTCCGATAGCAGGAAAGGTGGTAGAGACTTCCAGAGGTGCCTAGACCTTCATAAACAATTATGGAAACCTATGAACGCACCCCTCTTATCGGAGCACGTTCTTCCCAGGGAGTCTGATTCCTTTCGGATTCGGTGTGTAACTAGAACATTTGGGGGATGTCTGTCCAGATGACAGTTCTTTCCTGAGAACTTCCCCACCCCCTCTTTTCCATCCCCCCAGCATAATTAAAAATAAAAGATATCAATTCTTGTAAATAATTTATAGAAGAAACACAAATGACCAATTAACATTAGAAAAGATGCTTCATCTAGTGAAACACCAAAGAAATGCCAAATAAATCACTTTTACTCCCATCCTACTAATAAAAATTCAAAAGACTGAGAACATTCCGTGTTAGCCAAGAGGTGGGGGAATGGACTCTGTCATGTACGCTGTTGGCTGAGGTGTCCATTGGAATAGGAAGGAAAATTGGCAATATCTATCAAAAATTTACATTTGTCTCCCCTTTCCAGCGTGTGCCAGGAAAACACTCCGCACAGCAGGGAAGACGGACAGTCAAGAAGGAAAGCAGGACACCGGTAACCACGGAGAGAGGTGGGTACCACGGAGAGAGGTGGGTACCACGATGAAACGAGCACAGAACAGACAGGAGGGGACCGGGGAGGTTGCCGGCGTGTGCTGGGCGGCCAGGGACGCTGTCTCTGAGTTGAGGACATCTGAGCTGAGACTTGAAACATGAGAAGGGGCAGCCCTGCCAAGCGCTCAGGAAAGACCCCAGGAATACAAACAATCTGGTCTCTCTGCTGGATAAAGAAAAGCCCTAACCTTCTCTCTGCTGGCCCCTCACTCTTGGAACACCAAAGAGGTTTAAACAGAGTTGGTAAAAGAGCCCAACCCCAGACGAAGCGCTGGGGCTGTGTCTCCTGGCGGGAGTCACTGAGGTCCCCCACGACTTGATGCACACAGCGTTCTGCACAGTGCAATTCCCTTCCAGAGAGGCACTCAGCAGATGGCGGGCCGGGGAGGGCGCCTGCCCGCTCCTGGGCAGCTGGCAGCTCCCGCGAGCGCAGGCCCATCCCCCCAGCAGATGGTCGGACGGTGGGAGCTGAGCCTGGGCCGAGTAGGGACAGCCGCATGGCCGTGGCACTCATCCCGGGGCAGACGTGGGTTGGTCTCAATTCCCAACATCCAGGGTTTGAGACGGTCCTAATATCAGGGGCCCCCAAGGGCAGCGTCCCCCACTTGGCACCGGGCAATCTCCACGCCTTCAAAGGCTACTGGAAATGCCCTTCCCTGCAACACCCCCTGTGCCCAAAAGCAAAACTGTCTCCAGGAGATGCGAACCCTGGCCTCAGCCACCCCGAGGGAGCACACCAGCAGCACAGAGCTGCACTGCTTTGGTCTGCTCAGTGCTCTAAAGGTTTTGAATTAGGTGCCAACTTTTCAATGCAGAAACTTTCATATAAAGCATAGGGATTTCCGGCTTCTTCTGGAAAATCAGAAGACCTGGTGCCACTGGCTGCTCGGTCCTCACTGTGCCACCAGCAGACGTTGAGCCCGGCCACTCCCTTTAGCCGGGCCCCTGCTCTCCGCTCATCACGGTCCCCACGTAGCCCCTGAAGACCTCCCAACCCGTGCCCCTCCACCCCCCAGACCTCCGACCCCTCTTTCTAGGCCGTGCCCGCTGCGGTCGCCCCTCACCCTCGCCACTCTTATCCTCACTCTTACCCTCTGCCCCCTGCCCACCATGGCAGTCGTCTCCACTGCTGGCTGGGGTCTCCCACCGGCCAGGCTGCTGGGGTCAGGTATTTCCCCAAGTCCTTCGGAACCCTCCAGAAGAGGGTGGTGCTGGGGTCAGATCTACACTGTGACTCCTCTGACCCCATCCACAACAAGACGAACCATGAACCCCAGAGAAAGAGTGTTCGACACATTTACAGCAACTACACGCCGTTCTGACATTCGAGCCTGCAACCCCGGGACAAGCCCCAAGGAACAGGGTACAGACCAGCTGGGCATTATCAGACGCACGCGGCGTGACCTGCATGCTGGTCACACACAGCAGGGTCACAGATCCATCTGCTACAGATTACGGGTGGGGCCAGGGGGACAAGAAACTGGTCCCCCTCCACAGAGAGTCTGAGAAGAACTGGGATCCATAATATCCAGGCTCCTTCTCTGCCAGCACCTCCCTGGCCTCCCCCATCCCCTTCCCTATCTTCGCCCCAGTGACTCCTCAGCAGCACAGTGTGGGGTTACCACGGCAACTGCATCCTCTACAGACTGATGCCAGCCAACGCAGCTGGACCCTTAGCATTGCCTGGCAAGCTTTTTAATTCTTTAAATTTCCAACTGATAACAGCGGAGTGACCAAGACACAGGCGTTAGATTCTAAAGGGAACAGAGAAGTGAAATCTCATATAATTAAGATTACTCTTGATGGCTGCTCCTGGAGTCGAGCCCCAGGAGGAAATGGCTTGCATTTAATGCCGAGTTTACATCAGAAGCAGAGTGCGGTCAGACATCTACTTGGTGAGAAGCAGGGGAAACTGAGGCCAGCTTAGGAAATGGTAACTGCCCAGCTCCTCAGACTCATTCGAAAACATACGTTCACTGAAGGGCGTGGCAAGCAGTGCCACTGGATCAGGAATCACCACTCTCTCTCCCTTCCCACATCACCAAACACAAAGAGAAGAATTCAGACAAGTGGAAAAATGCATATTTTAACTTCACAGTACATTTCTGATGAACTGTTTGAAATCTTTTTTCCATCTTCAAGATCCCAATTTGCCTTCCATTCTCCTCCTCCCAGGAGATGATCTCTCCAAGGCTGTGTGACCTTAGGCAAGTCGCTTAACCTCTCTGAGACTCAATTCTTCATTCCATTAATTGTCCTCATTTAATGTTGTGAGACCAAAACAAGAGAACAGAAGCAAAACACTTGGAAAATAAAAAGTGTCTGATAAATAAGACTTATTACTGTTAAGCTCTGAAATTGAGGCTGAGAAGCTTCTTCACTCATACCCTCCACCCTCCAAATTCCCCACGTTTTCACTAAATCACTTTCCTTCTCACTGGTTTCAGAGGAAATCCAGAGAACTCACTCCCACTTCCTCCCATCTCCTCTGCAATTTATATTAAGTTTAGAGTAAGTTATAAACCCATGAAGGTGGAGACAAGGGTCTTCTGGTATACCACAGCACTAGGACCTAGCAATGGAGCTTGGCATTATTATAAATAAGTGCTCAATAAAGGTTTGCTGCATGGAAAGAAGGAAAGCAGGAAGGAAGGAAAGAAGAAAATTACCAGAATGAACACTAGACATGTAAACATGTATTTCTTATCGAATATTATCAAAACCAGTGCCTAACCAAACAAACCGTCAGTCAGCCCTACCCCACCCACCCAGAAGTAACCACTACCCTGACTGCAAGAAATGAAGTGTGCACTGTTCACATTACTGCCTGGGAAGGAGACGGGTATGTCACAGGCATCCTTGAATTTCAGTCCTGTCTCTGCCAGGTGCAACATGACACAGGGCTTAAACCCACTCTGGGGCTTCCCTGGTGGTGCAGTGGTTAAGAATCCGCCTGCCAATGCAGGGGACACAGGTTTAAGCCCTGGTCTGGGAAGATCCCACATGCCACACAGCAACTAAGCCCGTGCACCACAACTACTGAGCCTGCGCTCTAAAGCCCACGAGCCACAACTACTGAGCCCGAGTGCCACAACTATTGAAGCCCGCGCACCTAGAGCCCTTGCTCCGCAACAAGAGAAGCCACCGCAATGAGCCCACACACTGCAACAAAAGAGTAGCCCCCGCTCGCCGCAACTAGAGAAAGCCCGCGCGCAGCAACGAAGACCCAATGCTTAATTAATTAATTAAAAAAAAAAAAAAACCCAGTCTGTTCTGATTTCCCTTAACACCTCTCTCTGCTCCACCTGAAGAGATGGGCGTTTGACACAGGATGTCCCCCTCCCAACGTGCATGGTTTATCATGTGACATCTCTGTTTCCCATCACACTGTCTCTTTACACAGGGCCACAAACACAACCTGGCACAAGTGTCCGGAGCTGGGGTTTGAGATAAGATCCCTTCGCTAGCTAGTTGTCCTAACTTTACTCCTTAAACCAAGATGAATCCCAGATGGAGCAAACATTTTAATATAAAACCATATAAACACTCCAAGCAAACATTGATGTACTATTAAAATGGTAGAGCAGGGAAGATTTTTCTCAGCATGTCACAAAAACCAGAAACCATAAGGAAAAAACATCAATAGGTCTGCCTATATAAAAATTTTAAACTTCTGTGCCAAAATACGAATGAGATCACCTGGGAAATAGTAATTGCGATGAAGGTAACAAACAGAAGGACAATATCCTTATTGTCCTTATAAAGAGTTCTTAGAAACCATTTTTTCAAACGAACCCCGCAACAGGAAAACGGGCACAGGGCACAAACTGGCAGTCCGTACATATATTTTGAGGAATGCAAACAAACCGTAAGTATGAAGAAAGTTGTTAAACTTTACAAATTATTTTTAAAAGGGAAATCAATATGTTAGATATTTATTCAGTGTCTATAGGTGGGCAAAAATTTTAAAGTCAAACAGAACATGGTGCTCGTTAAGGTTAAGCAGACGTTGGTTAAGCAGACGTTGAGCCTTATCAGAAGAGGGAAGTTTGCCCTGCGAATCAAAATGTACAATGTATACACCCTTTCACTTAGTAATCCCATTTCTATGAAAATGGTGATGACATCAACATTGAGAAATTCCATCCGGAAAAACCAACCAAACAAAGCATATCACAGACAAAAACAAAAGACAAACAATAAACTGTGAGAAAATGTTTGTGACTGATGAGAGATGACAATTCGAGACCCTTTCTTCTATAAAGCTTTCTTACAAGTCAATAAAAAAAAGAACCTAGAAGGAAAGTAGATAGACCAAAATATTAAGAAAGGTCTTACATGCGAAAAGATGTTCAACTGTACTCACAAATAAAAATAAAAACAAAACAAAATATCATTTATCACCTAACAGACTAGAGACAAATGAAAATAGTAACCTTTAGCTCCTGCATACTAAATACACCACAAAATTTTTAAAAGCCACGTGACATATTTATGGAATCTAAAAAATAAAACTACCTAGTGAATATAACAAAAAAGAGACAGACTCACAGGTATAGAGAACCAGTGGTTACCAGTGGGGAGAAGGGAGAGGGAAGGGGGAGGGGCAAGACAGGGGTAGAGGATTAAGAGGTACAAACTACCATGTATAAAATAAATAAGCAACAAGGATATACTGTACAACACGGAATATAGCCAATATTTTATAATTACTGTAAATGAAATATAACCTTTAAAAACTGTGACTCACTACACTGTAAACTACCTGAAACTTATATAATACTGTACATCAACTTACCTCAATTGAAAAAAGAAGAAATTTTGAAAAAGAAAGAAAAAAACAGATAATAAATTGGATGGGGGAAAAAGGATATGAGGTTTAGGCATCAGAAATGAGAAACTCTTACAAATGATTAAGAAAAAGATAAGAACCATAACAAAAAAATGACTAAAGGACACACAAGTAACTGACAAAGGAAGAAACAAAACAGATATATGCAAAGATGGCCAACCTTCCCGATAACCTAGGAAATGCAAATTGAACAAATTTTTTCAGTCAAATTATTAAAGATTAAAAAGAATAACTAATTACTTGTTAGCAAATGACTTCAAAGTGGAGAAAAGCTGGTGAGGAAGAGTAACAAGTTCAGAGAGACTTGGGTGGACAAGTGGCCAGGAAGAGGCAGAGGTGAACAGGCTGCTGCCGGCCCTGGGTGGCCATGGCCATGGCCTTGGTGTGGCCGGGCAGCGGGGCAGTGCAGAAGACTAAGGACCAATTTCTTACATCTTTAGTCACCAGGGGAATTGAGAGACAATCTAGATTGTGCTCCAAATACAGGCTGCAAGTGGAAAAACAACATGGCAAGAAACGAAAAGGGAGAGTTCATCTCTGTCCACTGGCTTTAAGTGAGTCTGTGGATGGCAGCCTGTGTGGAGTCTGTGCTGGTCATTCCCCCTCCTTGTCATACAGCATCCTGACTGAGCATCTGTTGTACTAAAGAACCACAAAACAGCATCAAGCAGAGGAAAATGGGTTGGTAGGAGAGAGAGGGGGAAAAAAATGGATTCATCCCATGGTAAAGACAGAAAGCTGCCAGTAGTGGAATTATGTTATTAATAGCAATATATTATTATATAACATATATAATATGATAATAACAGCTGCACACTGAGTTCTGCTTCTGGGGCAAAGTGCCTGGGTTCAAGCCTCAACTTTGCCTTTCATGTGCTGTGTGACCTTGGGCAAGTTACTTAACCTCACTGAGCCTCGGTTTCCTCATCTGCAGAATGGGGACAATACTAGCACCTGCCCGCATGGTACTGTTGGGAGGATTAAGTGAACCATGTAAACACACAGGGAAGGGCCCGGCCCAGTGCCTGACAGACTGGCGGCCCCACTGCTATCACCCCAGCCGCTGCAGGCTGTGCTCAGCCCCTGGAGCCCCTTCTGCTCAGCTTCATACCAGTGTTCAAATCTTTTCCTCCCGCACCTCAACAGGTCATCTTGCAAACTCTGTTTTGGAGTCCAGAGGTCCAGAGAATTTCTGTGTCATCTTGGAGTTTTAAACACTGAGGCTCCATCAGGCCCGTGGCCCTGGCGTGCACACCAGGGCAGGACCGGCTGGGCAGCCCTCACGGGCACAACTTCCAGCCCGAACACCCAGGCTGACCCAATTTCTGGTACAGATTAGGACGTCAATCTCAAGTGGCAATTAAGGGCTATTCCCAGAGCGGACACTGTGGCCGAGTCCACAGGCCAGGGCGGCTTCTCCTCCACACGTCTCCGAACGTCCGAGGGGCAATTACATGGCCGTTTAATTCCCCGGCGGTGCAGGAGCAAGTGGAAAACACCATCTGACTGACAGCTCATTTTCCCAACTCACATATGATTATTCTCATTACACGAAAGGGTTTTCTTTCCTTTTCAAATTGTTAACACATTCCTCCACAGGAGCGCCGTACCTGATGCGGTGACTGTGCCCGCCCAGAGCGCGTTCTCTACGCTCAGGCTCTCGCTGATCGGGGCATCGCTGTCCTCCTGCAAAAGAACAAGCGGACACACGCTGACCCACCAAGGTCTGGGCCGGACCCGCTGGCTGTCTCCAGCCTGCTCTTCACAAGAAGGGAGGAGAGGATGACCCCCGTTTGGAAGCCAACAGCCCAGCTGGGAGAGGCAGGCCAAACTCATAAACTCCTATCCTTGGCGTTCCCGCCGCAGTGAAAAACAATGGTTCACGATTTAAGAAATGCAGGCTTCTAGCACCAAAGAAACATTTTACAAGGTAAGAGCTAAAATGTAGAGGCAAATTGAACAGAAACAGCCCTTTGCTGGTCAGTCTTCGGGCTTCCGGAACAAGAGCAGGAACAATTCAATTTGGGTTCTATAAACCTATTACCCCACAGGTCTAAAATAATTCAATTTCTATTCTGAAAGGCTGGGACGTGGCTTAAAAATTATAACCCTGGCAGATAGGACTTGGAGGAATTAAAGAGGACAGGGGCTCACATGAAAGAGACAGAAAGAGTAACTGCTTTCAGACACCAGAGTTAACGTTCATTACAATAACACTGGCTCCAAGCTGTCAGGTGACTCGAGCTGTTCAGAGGCTGGAAGAAAATCCCAGTGGTGTTGATTTTACTGAGAAGCAATATGTCAGCTTTCAAGGTGGGGCCTTCTGAAGGGAACGTCACCCCACCTGGCACAAAGCAACTCCCTGACAAACACCTGTCAGCACCGTGCAGCAGGTCCTCACCCCAGACGTGCGCCCCGCCAGGCCGGATTCCGCGTCACACGAGGCTTACTTACTCTAGTGAAAGTCCCCACAAAGTTGTGAATGTCGATGTTTGGCTCCTCTGCATACACGTACGATCGAATCTGAAGAAGGTCCTGTTCAACGGGGGTGACATTTTGGAGGTAAAACGAAGTCACTGTATGATTATAAAGGGATTTCAGGAAGCATCCACTCTTTTTCCAAAGCAGGTGTATTTTCCAAACAGCTCTCAAAACCACAGGGCAGGTGGAAAAAAAGAGGGAAACCTTCTGGCAAGTAAGTTTAAGAGTCACTACCTGTAATATCCCAAGACACACTGAGACCCTAAAGGGAAGGTTCTGTGTTTCTCTGTGTTTACCCAGCATTTCCAAAACTAAGTGACAGTGCAGATCCCCCTCTGCGACACTCTGGTTTACAAGAGTTGTTCATACCAATCAAAACACTCATTAGGGAGGGTAGGAGGGAGACGCAAGAGGGAGGGGATGTGGGGATGTATGTATAGCTGACTCACTTTGTTATGCGGCAGAAACTAACACACTGTTGTAAAACAATTATACTCCCATAAAGGTGTTAAAACAATTTTTTTTAATAAAAAAATAAAAGGAAAGAAATTCTGACACTTGCTCCGGCATGGATGAATTGTGAAGATACCATGCTAAGTGAAATACGCCAGTCACAAAAAGACAAATACCATAGGATTCCACTTATCTGAGGCAGCTACAGTAGTCATACTCATAGAGAAAGAAGTAGAAGGGTGGTTGCCAGGGGCTGGGGGAAGAGGGGGAACCGGAAGCCGTATTTAGCGGGTCCAGAGCTGCAGGTTTCCATGACGGGAGTCTGGAGATGGATGGTGGTGATGGCTACATAGCAGTGTGAATGTCCTTAACACCACTGAAGTGTCCGCTCAGAAATGGTAAGACGGTCAATTTTATGTATATTCTGCCACAATAAGAAAGATGGGGGCGGGGGGAACCAAATCAAGTGGTCAGGCAAATTCAGGCCACGTGGAGTAGAGGCTACTGGCCACGCCCTCAGCAGGCCCTGAGCTCCCTGCAAACCATCCAGGAGGCCCGTATGCAGACGTGTGGGCAATGCGGCATCTATGTGCTGATACATAAAAAAGGCCCACAGACAGAAAGTGAAGGGAAAAACGTTTCAGAATCATAATTACAGCACAATCCCATTTATGAGAAACCACACTCCACCAGCAAGTGTGCAATTGTATATTTGTAAGAAACTGCACTAAAAAGGACCTGGAAAAATCACTACTGAATTCACAAGAGCCCCTGGGAGAGAGAGGTAAGATCTGGGGAGGAGGCTGTGAGCAACACTTTTCACTTGTTCCTCCAATTTGAGTTTCTTTTTAAATAGAATATACTCGCGTATTCCTCAGGTAAATCTTTCCATACAATTCTTTTCATCTATGAGTTTGTCAAAACGCTGTTAGCCAACTAGGCCCCTTCAGCCCACTAAGGCTGAAGGTACAGACAGTGGTACCTTATCTCTCTCTGGACGCCAACCCAGGCCTGGAGAAGACGAATGTTTATGAAACTGGGTGAAGTTTCCAAAGTGCACATTGAGAAAGGAACCCAGAGCCGTGGAACCGGCGGGCACCTTCACGATTCTAGACTCTTCTGGACTGTCTCCTGAACAGACTCCCTCAAATCATGGGAGTGACCCTCGCTGGTTAGCCCCATCTCAAGGATTCCCCAGGGCTCCTGGCCACAGCTGAAAACTCACTAGAATTCCTGGTCTAAACAAATAATAATAAGGATGGTGCTATTTCCCATCTTATTGGCCATGAAAAATCATCAGTACTGCGGGCACGTTTACTGTGACATTCACTCCACTGAGACACAGAACTGTCTCCTGCCCTCTCCCTTCCTCACAGGACGCAGTAAGGACTGGCATTAATCAATGTGGCCACAAGCCCAGGAAAAGCTTCTGCGCTCTGCTTAATCCTTTCAGACCACCCACAGGGCATGTCAGTCTCTGGGCATTTAAATTACATTTTGTGATTTTGTAACCTACTCCCCAGGCCTCATCCAGCCCAGGTGGCTTGCGTTCAAACTTCTTCTTTGACTCCCTCCCTACCTCACTCTACAGTTTAAGGCATGAGTGACAGGGAGCTGGTGGGGTAGTGTGAGGCCCCAGAGAGCTCGGAGGGCCTGTTGGTTCCAACTACTGTGGCCGCCCCCCACAGACAAGGCCTGCATGCTGTTCCATGCACCGTTCGACACACTGTTCCATGCACTGGGCGCACAGCAGCGAACACACCGACAGAAACCTGCTCTCGAAGACTCTGCCTTGAAGTGAGTGGAGTGGGAATGCAAGGAGAGGGTGGTCAGGAAACACCTCTCCAATAAGGGGACTTGTACACAAAAACCAAGAGTGAGTCTGATTGTTCCTGGTGGAGAAACTGCAAGGGCAAATGTCGGGGGGCAGAAGCATGCCTGATGGAGAGGCCTGTATGGCTGGAGCTGACGGGCAGAGGGGAGAGAGCCAGAAGCTGAGGTGAGGCCCTTAGCAGAGAGACGAGGACCGCAGGATCGAGTCTCAGGAAGCTGAGATGCCTTTGGAGATTCTGAGCAGAGGAATAACGTGCTCTGCGTTGGGTTTTACTTTTATGCCAGGTATCTGGTCAAGGTTTCTTAGAGCTGGAGCTTCCCTCAAAAGAGTACCATCCCAACAGGCCAGGTCTGCGTTCACAAGGCCACACGGCCTGGAGCCAGCAAGCACTCGGGGCTCTCGAGAACCCCACACCCCCCAGGAGCCCCACCTCACACCTGACGGCCCGTGTCTGGCCCCTGAGGGGCCCGAGTTTGAGAGCCCTGAGGTGACACAGTCGCCAGTGGGGCTTCTGCAGGGACAGTTACTCACAGCAGCGGTGGGCAGCCTCTGAGTGCAGGCCACGGGAAGCCGAAGTTTCCAGTCCGTCTCCCCGTCCAGCTGGTCCGTCCGCAGGAAGCAAGAGCCTGTGGAGGGAAGTGAGGCACCATCTGTTCACCTGCAATTCAAGAATCCTTCCCGTGGCAGCTCCGAGCAGCTCCAGCTCTAGTACTTGTAAAAACAGCCAATCAATGGCCAACGACCAAGAGGGAAAAATAAATACCCGATTTCCCATCTCCTCCATAAGCTCTGGGGTCAGAAAGATCCGGGTTCAAATACCTCGCTCCACCACTCACAGTGGGAGCCTGGGCTAGTTTCTGGACCTTGCTAAGCCTCGGCGTGTCCTGTCTGTAAAATGGGGAGAAACACAGATCTCACAAGCCTGCTGTAAAGGATTCAGAGGGGTGATCATACCCCCAGCACGGCGGCTGGCACGGAGTAACCAGCATTCGAGTCCATTTGGGGCAGGGGTTACAAGTACCTTCTCAGGAACCAGACCTCCTGGGTTCAGGTTCAGCCTCCACGACTCCCTAGCTGTGCCCTGAGGGAGTTACTTCTCTCCTCTGAGCCTCAGTTTCCTCCAGTGCACAAATGAGGATATTACGGCGCCAACCTCATGCTGCGAGGCCTAAAGAGCTGATCCATGCAAACTGCTCAGAACAGGGAAAGGACCCCAAGGACCACGTTAACTGTCTGCCGTGACTATCGACCTGCAAATTTGGTGGATACATATTTCAATCTGACCTGTACAAGTCTGAGCAATCAGTCAGCTCTGTATTTCATCAGACAGAGAATGTACTGAACTCCCTGACACCGCACTTAAGACTTCTGAGGACTTTCAGGAGATCCCTTCTAATTTTTTTTTTTTTTGGTCGGGGGAACAAAGGGAGAGCACATCTGGCACCCCCAATCCATAACACTCCATTTTCACTGACGAGGACACAAGAACCAATTCAAGGACAAAGCTGCAGTGTTTAGAAGAACACTGTTTTAGGGCCTTCCCTGGCAGTCCAGTGGTTAAGACTCCACGCTCTCACTGCCAAGGGCCCGGGTTCGATCCCTGGTTGGAGAACTAAGATCCCACGAGCCGTGCAGCAAAATAAATAAAATAAATAAATAAATAAAAGAAGACTGTTTTAATGGAGTGCCTTCCACCCCCTCTCTGGAGGATTTAACATATTATCAGTATATCACGTCATCTGCACTTTTATCCAGTTCATCATAAAAGAGGTTGCAGCAACCTCAAAGGGATACAAATACGGATTTTTCCAATGATTGAAGATCTCTGATTATGCCTGATGGGCAAGAGAAAAAAGCCTTGTTTCCTCAAAACAGCTTAAATAACAACAGATAAAAAGAAAGGAGATTTGAGTCAACCGACGGGGAGGGCAGGAGGCAGCGGGGGCGGCCACAGTGGGAAACGCAGCCGGGCCCCCCGAGCCTGCCCCGCGGGTGCAGACGGCCAAGTGTCCTACGTCATTTTATATAAGGGACTTGAGCATCCGTGGATTTGGGTACCCATGGGGGTCCTGGAACCAATCCCCCTCGGACACCAAGAGACAACTGTAATCGCGAGGAGTGGGGTCTTGCAAGAGACTTGAGAGGTTCACTCAGGGAAATAAGCTGTAACGACAAATAAATCGATGGGCAGGGGTGACTATGGCCCCACCACTCGTGAGCCAAGGTGGGGAGAGGCCACCTACCCCTACCTCTCCCCCCAGCTTCCCAACCGCCCCATCTCATGACACTCTCCCAGTATTTTCTCAGAGGAGTTTCTGTTTGCTTCTGTTTGTTCGACACACTTCCCAGTCCTGCCAACTCCTGCGGTCGAGCTTAATGAAGCCCAGCGGGGAAAAGCACAGCCACTGTGTGTGACTTTCCCAGCTGGGGTTCAGCACGGGTCCGACTACCTTTGCTATGATCAAAATCTGTTGACCTGCGCGCACCTAAAACTTTTTTTTTTTTTTTTTAAAGACTGCTCTATGAAAAGGAACGTTCTTGATTTGCCTCCATGGCTCCAAAATGATCACCTGCTTCTGTTACGTTTTCAAATGATTATTTTGCCAAATTACCACTGAAAGGTTAATGGTTAGTTTCCAAATTGATCCCAGATGTTTACCGTTTTTTTCTGATGTCCTCAGGAAGATCATGTCAGCAGGGACCCGCTGGTTCTGCGTTATGAACAGAGAGACTGTTACTGTGAATGCCCCTGTGTGAGGTTTCCATCCCCAAGCCCCCGCCCCCTCGGTGGGGCGCGCGGGGGGGGGGGGGGGCAACCCAAACCCACAGCCTCTTTTAAGTGTCTGCCTTTGTCAAAGACAGATCTGGGGATTTGTTTTGAATCTGAAAACTCTTGCACACTGCCGTTACGTTACTAATCTCCTATTGAAATCTTATCTCGGAAAGAGAGCTTCTAGTTTTCTGGCGAATCCAACCATTACCTCCTGAAATTGCAGCCAGAGGACCCGGGAGCCCAAAGCCTGCTCCCCGAGCTGGCTTTCTTCCAGGCTGTCTGCTGAAACTACATACATACACTCGGCTCACGCTTTCTGCTTCTACCAATTTTCCGGCTTGACGTTTGGCTTCGAGTGGGATTTTAATAAGGAAGTCAAGTAGCAAGAAGCAACAAAAGCCGTTCTCAAAAAAAGAGGGAAGCCAACAGCAGGCCTCATGTAATTGTGAACAGGCAAGTATGTCATAACATAAAGAAGTTTGTGTGGGTCTTCTGAGCTGCCACCCAGGAGAGCTTCACTTTACCCCAAATCAACTGTGAGTTCTTGGATTTAATCCTTTTAAAAGAGCATAGTTCACTTCCTACAGAAACAAGTTAAGATGCAATCCTTTTCTAATCAAATATGATTCCAAGACTCTCCAGGGCCACCCCCAAAATCCAACACCTCCCAAACATACACAGTAAGAAAAGGTATGAGTGCTGGAGTAACAAACATTATCGACAGCGCTATCTTTAAAAATGCACCTGGGGCCTTTTTACTGTTCTCATGTTTCACTTAACCCCTACTCCCCATGAAATGACAGAAAAGCACAATGTTATTTAAGTCAAAAAATGTGAGACCAAATTGTTCAAGAGGTAAATGACAAATATTTTTATGTGCTTGTGCAGCCCCCAGACTTCCAGGAAAAACTTTATTATGATGAGTTTAAGACTCCAAAACAACAAGCACATCAAATAGGAAATCAAACCTTGGAATTGTGTTTGTAACTTGGATTTCTGGCTAAGAAGCACACAGAAACCATGAAAAAATATTCTGTGTGTGTGTGTCTCATGGGAAAGAGATGTTTCTCCCCAGGCAAAGCTTCTGGGTAGAATCCCAGAAAGCAAACGTCCAGTTCGGCCACCAGATACACGAATCACATGTCGCACTGGGACTCGTGAAGTGGGGGCAGTGACGTCCCTCTCCCACGTGCCCACGCAGCAGCCGTCAGGAGCCACGAGACCCCACTCACCTTCTCCACAATGATAAGATCTCCAACTTGGATGCTGGAGCTCTTCACCTTCACTGTCCCTGCAAAGAAACAGGCCCAGATATATCACATCTGAATTCCTTCCAAGTCTGCGTACCTCGGCAGGGTGTCCGCTAGCCTGCGGACCCAGAAGCACGTGCCCCTGAGCCTGGCAGCAGCATCTCCTGTCTCTCCGAGAAAAGGTTCACCTACCACAGAGGCCGCCCCAAAAATGAATCCCCGTTTTGCGGAGCACTGGAATGACTCACTCAAGTAAGATCTTCTGTCTTAACAGCACCTTAGAAGCTATTCTAAATCAGCACCATAAAAGATTCAGCCTCAAACACACACACACACACACACACACACACAGAAATGGGGAAGAAAATTCAGAGTCAGATCCGTGGACAGAAGGTCAACACTTAATTCTCAACACCACCAAAGAGAAAGAGGATAACCCAAAATGACTGACTCTTTAAATCTGCGATTGCTCTACCGTGCAGTTTATATGGTTATGATCAGATCACATAACTGTGGCTGGATGTTTATCGGGATAAACAATAACCGCTAACATTAAACACTAACACTGTGCTAAGCGCTGTATAGATATTGACATCCTGATGGCTTCGCTTGCTCCTCTCAAAGGCCACCAGAAAAATATATTATCTCCCGTTTTCAGACAAAGAAAGTAGGCTCAGAGAGGCCCCGTCTTCCCCTAGTCTCACAGTTAGAACAGGTCAACACCAAGATTCAAACCCTCATCTGACTCCAGAGGATGGAATAAAAAAGAGGGACTTCGGTTCAACTCAAAAAACATTTACTCAAGTGCCACGTTCTAGGAATTCGAAGGTCCAAGACAGTCCCCTCGTCCTAAAAAAAAGCTCATAGTCTCACGCAGGCGTCGACAAACGCGTCCTATAAAGAGCAGGAGGGTAGACAGTTTAGGTTTTGCAGCCAATGGACAATCTCAGCTCCCCCAACAACTCTTCTCCCCAAAGGCAAATAGCCTTTGTACATTTATATTTTAAAATGTAAAAAGTGTTCTTGGCTCCCGAGCGAAGATGGTGGGCTGAATTTGGCCCACTGGCTGTAGTCTGCAAACCCATAAGCTGGTGAGAAAGACAGCAAGACAAATGCTGTTAGTGCAAAATAGTGTGTCAAAGGATGGGAGTAAGTCCAGTGTGCAAAGGGAGCAGAAAAGGAGACCTCCCCCACTGAAGGAGGACCAAGAACAGTACCTGGCACCCAGAAGGCTCGTGACTGTTCACTCCACATTCAAGCCCCCTTAACTGAATGCCTGCTGGAGGCCAGGTGTTCTAAGGGTGGGATGCATGGGACTCGCACTCCAGCGGCAGGAAGGAGGCAAGAGACAAATAATGAATGAACGGGCTGGGGTATGGGGAGGTATCAACAAATGCTTTACAGGAGGGCTGAGGTCCGAATTAACCAGATGAAGGATACTGGTTACCAGCATCAGAAAAAAGGAAGGCATGAGATGGGAGACAGTGATGCACATGCGTAGCGCATGCATCTGCGTGGCCACAGGCTGGAACTCCTTTAGCAAGGGAGAAAGCATCACACGGAACAGAAAGAGAGCAAGGGCTTGGGGGGCCAGGTGGTCCAGCGCCCCATAAATAAGCCTGTGGAGGACATGGGTCTTTATTCTGGTGACGGATCAAATTCCCACACAAGGGAGTAACACCATAAAAATCTTCATGTTTTTGGCGTCTCGTAATAAAGCCCATTTAACTTACAAATGTTCAGCCAAGAGAGAAGAAAATACTCATGATTCTCAGTCCTCCTCGATAAAGTATATGCCCCAGAGCAAGAGTGACCTGGGAGTTCTGAATCTGCTGTCCCCCACCGTGGACTCACTCCTTCAACAAACACCCAACACTCACCCACTAGGAACTAGCGCACAACGCAAGTTATTTTATCATACACTTTTCACATCATTTAATGCCATGGGTCTTTTTAGTAATTCACCACTAAATGAGATGTTTCAAAGCATTCCAATGACTTCAACTGAAACAACTCTTTCTAAGAGGTTCCACAGGGTTTGATTTTTAACTAATGTCTGTACTTAATTAAATTTTGTCATGGTAACAGTGAGAAGACCTGGCGCTAAAAGGGCAGCTCTTGAACACGAACGACTTTTAGAAAACACGTGGCAGATGGCTCTGATGACGGCTAGACTCTCTCCACCTAGGAAGGGAGCATCTGATAGGGCCCTGCTTTCATAAATGGCCTGAGCCTGGGCATCCTCGGGACCCACTAGCCTCAAGCGTTCGCTGTGTCGATATATTGGCAGAGGGAACGGAGAACATCGGCGAGCCCTACGAGGCAGCTCGTTAGAAATGGCAGAATGAAGAGCGGGCTCCACGCGCAGAATTCTCTTCCGACCCGAACAATTCTTCTTGCCCAATGAGGGGGCAACAGGAAAAATGCATACAGATACGCTGCTCTCTCTGGACAGCTTATCAAAGCCTTCCTCGAGGGAAGATCGTAAATTCATCGTGCCCCCCACCCCCTGAGCCAGTGAGCTTTTCCTTCGCCTGAGCTCGCCCCAACTTTCCCGAACATAAATTTACACATTGTCTTTGGTTTTATTACTGAAATTTATGCTGGTGGCCTGACCCAAACCATCCCTGAGCCTGTGTTCTGATCTTCAAGACCTACTCACAAGTTTGCTCTTAATATCTAACCCTAAGAAGAGCACTGTTATAACTCTTATTAAATAATAACTGCATATGGATATATGTGTGTGTTAGCGAGACAAAGGACAAACTCAGGAAGATTATACTAAAAGGGTTAAGGTTGATTCCTTCTAGGGACAGAGGAGATTTACCCCTTTCTTTGGCAAAAATACTTTCTAAATTCTTCACGACAATTTTCTTATAATAAACATGAGGTGCTCTTCCAATAAGAAAAAGATATAATAAATTAAATTAGCTCAAACTTTTAAGTGACCAGGCCCAGATTTTTTCCTTCCACGGCAGGGTCCTGATTTACGATCGGTTAATTTGAACTCTGCCTCTCTGTCCATCTGCTCTACCTCAACAAAAACCCTTTAATCCGCTGTGTTTGCAGAGCAGTTTCTGACTAAACCCAGCAGGCCGATCCCTCGGACAAACCCTCCTACTGTAACTGGCTCCATCTCAGGAGGAGGGCAGCGGGGGCCACACCACCCTGAGGTCACTGGGGCTTCTCAGCCCCGGCTCCCTCATTAGCATTTTAGGATTTGGCGGGGATGAGCCTCAACTCTGCAGGTTCCACACAGGGAGACCCTCAGATTCACTCGCTCTATCGAGCCAACACACGGTCCTGACCATACATTAGGACTCTTCGGGCCGCACTACCGTTTTTGGGTGATCAACAATGTGTAGCTCAGGCCTGCACACAGAACACACATTTCGCATGTGTCTGTGTACCTGTGCGTTCTGAGGGAGAAAAGGCAAATTAAAACCATAAGAATGAAAGGAGGAAAAGCGGCAGGAAAGAAAGAGCAGGAGAGGCAGAGAGCAGCATTTCGATTCCAACATTTACTGGGGTTTCGGTTGCCGACGTCCAAGTGAAACGCCCCTCTCTAAGAAGCCCACGAGTAGGTAGGGGAGGCACCGCTGGGGCAGGACACAAAGAGGACCAGAGTCAGAAGAGCTGAGCACGCAGTGGCTAGAATTAACTTCCAGAACGACAAGACTCTGAAAATTGTGGAAAGGGCCCAAAACACATACTAAAACCACTCTTTTGAGTTTTCTACCAATATTCTTGCAAAAAAGGAACAAGAAACATTCGCACGATGGCAGAGCCCCCGTCTTCCTAGCAAGAGAATACGATACATGAAAAATAACACACTGACAGTGATTATTACCTACCTCAAGCGAGAGGAGCTCTCCCTACAGTCCATTATCTGATTAGAAGAAAATTCTCTCCCAACACCCCACTGAGAAGTTAGCAGACATACTTCCCAAGCACCCCTACTTTCTGTGTGTGTGTGCGTGTCATCTACCCTAGAGATTCCTAAAACTTCTAGAAGCAGAGTCCAACCCATGGGCATGTGACCTGTGTATTCACATAGATCCCCTCACCCTTGGCTGAATGACCTACGGTTTTCATCTTCAAATTCTTAATAACTTTTAAACAAGTGACCCCGTATTTTCATTTTGCACTGAGTCCCACAAATTACATAGCTGGTCCTGAACAGGAGTAATAACACCCATTCGCATCTTCTTTATAAAGTGCACAGGAAGATCCGGCCGTGGTCTAAGATCCGAAGCCACAGAACTCCTCACTTTGCCCCCCAGACCTCTTTTTTCTTTTGGACCCTGTCACACCCAGTCTCCAACCTCTAGGCTCTGGGATTCTTACATATCTTTGCAGAAACTCTACAGAAGTTGGGTAAGAGATTTTTCAAAGGTTAAGTGGCAGATTCTCTGCCAGACACATCCTAAATCATAAAACGCCTTCTATAAAAGAAATGCATCCCGTTCAGCTTCTGCCACTTCACCCAGGTCACCTCTGAGCTAGAGTTTATAACGGGGAACAAACTTCCAATTACTAGAGCTGTTTATTTCTGCAGAGATGAACCCCCGAGCCTTTCATAAGCAAACCCATTGAGCCCAAACCGTGCTTTTCATGGATGAGAGCTTCAGAATAAGGGCAGTTTGTCTATACTGCAGAGAGAAACCAGATGTTTCCCTTGAGTCGAAACAAGCAAATGACAATTCAGTCACACTGCAGAACAGCCCCCCAAAAAAAAAAGTAAATTCCGGAGCACTAGTACGTGTGGGCCAATTTTTTGACCTCCGAACACCTCCAGCTATACTTCTATTTTTCATTGTGCCTGCAGGACATTGATTGCCTTTGCAGGTCTTTAGCAGCAAGCTCCATGCACTAACCCTGGTTAATGTATAACTCTTTAACTCGAACTCTAATCTGACTGTGACAGTGATGAGTTGTAAATTCTACAGCATGTGTACATTTCCTGGGCTTGACACGAAAACGCCTTTGCAGACCCCGCAGAGTTCATAGGTTTAAAGTTGAAATTTTCATATTCCGATCA